GGAAGGATAGTAAATTGTTTGTATGTTACTCCAAACCAAAGCGAGGCCAAGCAGTTTCTAGTCAGAGACTCTCAAAATGGGTCTCCTCTGCTATTACCCTATGCTACCAACTGGCAGATATGCCACTACCAGGTGTGCCAAAAGCCCACTCAGTCAGGGCGGTGGCAACCTCCGCGGCCTTCTTGGCAGGCGTTCCATTGCAGGATATCTGTGCGGCCGCTACGTGGTCTTCCCCATCTACGTTCGCAACACACTATGCTATGGATGTTAGGGCTAGAAGGGATTCCCATTTTGGTCAGGCAGTTCTCAAATCCATTTTTTGCTAATAGGTTATTTCCAAAATGTTTCTCCCTAGGAGTTTTTGTCAGATGTTAGAACTGCTCCTTGAGCTCATAGTCATGATTAAGTGTTTACTGTTTTGTGAAAGGGAAATGTAACAGGGGAACGATATTTATTAAATTCCTGTTTGGTTAATTGATTTTCTTTTTCCCTTGTTGCTTGCACAGGTTCATAATAAACTACGAAATGTTACTTGCATTGTATGCTGTAGTTCTTCGTAACCTGAGCTATCTACTGGTGGGGTTACAGATGCCAGCACCCGCCATCCTAGTGATGTTCAGCTTGCAAGTCACCCATGGTGTGTGGCCTGCACAGAGACCACGAAGAAGATAAACAGGTTGCTTACCTGTAACTGATGATCTTCGAGTGGTCATCTGTGCAGCCACACACACCCACCCGGGCCATCCCCGCTGCTGACATCTACAGGTCGGATTGTCGGCGGTAGGGAAGGTAACTGGGTGGAGGTGGAGTCTGCTTCAGTCACCGAGCATGCGTAGTGAGGGAGGGCTGCGCGAGACTGAGGCGGACTCCGGTTGCATGTTAAGCTTTTTTAGGCTTCCCGGCCAGGGCTCAGCGTAGGCGTGAAACCCATGGTGTGTGGCTGCACAGATGACCACTCGAAGATCATCAGTTACAGGTAAGCAACCTGTTTTTCCTTTAGCTGGTGAGAAAATGGAAGGGCCTAGTGTGGTCTTAACCTTTCTCAGCATTGAGTTGGACACTGTGCAGCAGGTTTCATGCTTGCCTCCTGATAAATCCTGCAAAGGCTGTGCAATTCCACAATAGGACTAAAACGCCCTCATCATAGGATGCGGGTTACCCAGGGGATTAGGGAGGACTTATTAGTTTGGCAAGACTTCCTGGCTTCATATAATGGGGTATCCTTTTGGAGAAATGATCTCCGACTGGAAGCTGAACTGCAGGTCACCTCTGATGCATCAGGTTCTTCGGGCTTCGGTGTCTATTTTAGGGGACATTGGTGTGCCGAAGATTGGCCGCCTGAGTGGATCCAGGCTGGATGGATGCGTGACCTGACGTTTCTTGAGTTTTTCCTCATAGTGGTAGCAGAGTACATCTGGGCTGATGACCTTGCTAGCCAGATCGTTCATTTTTGGTGTGATAACTTGGCGACAGTACAAGTTATCAACTCATTAACATCGAAGTCTCCAAGAGTGATGGCACTGGTCAGGGCTTTTACCCTCCAATGCTTACAGAGTAATATATTGTTTAAGGCCTGGCATGTGCCGGGGCCAGTAACGGAGTTGCTGATGCTCTGTCTCGAAAACAGATGGAGAGGTTCCGTCAGTTGGCTCCAGACGCTGATCTTTTCCCAGTAAGAATGCCTGTGGACCTGTGGCAAATTGGAGGGCTGAGGCTGACAGGGCAATGGCCTTAGCTCTTGCCCCAGCACACGCCGAGCTTATATGAGAGGAGGCCAGCAGTTTGTGGCATTTAGGTAGCCGGAGAGCCTTCAACAGCTCTGGTCCATCCCAGCGTCACATCTGATTCAATTCTGCGTGTCATTGAAAGGTAAGGGTTTGTCTGTCCGTTCCATTCAGGGCAAACTATCAGCCCTTGCCTTTGCAAGCAAGGCCGAGGTTTTTAAGGATGACACTGGTAATTTCTGAGTCAGAAAGATGTTGGAAGGCTGGGCCCAGGAGAATGGGATGCCTCAGGATATGAGGGAACCATTTCCCCCCACTGTTCTGAAGACTTTGAGAGCCCAATGGGCTTCCTTATGTGTGGATGCATATGAGGCTGCCTTGTTTCATGCGGCTGCCCTAGTTGCATTCTTTTGGGCCTTAAGAATTAGTGAACGGGTGGCCCACGCACGCCAAGACAGGCCAGGATATGCACTTTGCCTTTGGGATGTTCAGAGTAGCGGGGATAACATGCACATTACAGTTAGGTGTTCCAAGACGGACCAATTACAGAAGGGTGTGGTGGTGTCAGTGGGTCCTTGTTCAGATCTGGACCTTTGTCCTATCACTGCACTCCATTCCTACTTGGACCTGAAGGGTGGGAGTGAAGGTTGTCTAATTTTGCATAGGGATGGATCTCCCTTAACAAAATTTAAATTTTGGGCGATTGCCAAGAGAGCTTTGAAGGCTTTGGGGCTTGGTAATTTTCAATTTGGCACTCATTCTTTTAGAATCAGGGCAGCTTCCACTGCTGCGGCTATGGGGTATCTGGGAGCTGACATTCAGAAACTTGGCAGGTGGAGGTCAGCACGCTATAAGACGTATGTCCGGACCTGCAAAGTCTAAGTTTTCCTTCCTTCAGTTTAGTATAATGGGGAGGATAATTTATTGTTATACCTGGATGCTTCCTTGTTGTTCTGTGTGGTTAACCTAGTTCTTGTTTTAGGTGCTGCTGGTTGCCATGGGAAGAGCCGAGTGCTTATTTGTGGCCACAGCATGGTGTTTTGGGCTGCTCACCGGGCCAAGAGGACGTACACTGGTTCCCAGTTGGGCTGCAGTGAGCAAGCTGAGGTTGAGTGGCTTGGCCAAAGAGGCATGCACTGGCCTGGGCTTATGCCGTTATTGTTTGAGGAGAGGCGTGGTCCTCCTCCTCACGTGCTAGTGATACACCTTGGTGGTAATGACCTGGGTCTTGTCAAAGGTAAAGCCCTAGTCATTCAGGCCAAGGCTGATTTGGCAGACATTGCGAACCGGTGGCCTGGGGTGCAGCTGGTCTTGTTGGCAATGTTACCACACGAGGTGTGGCGTAGCCTAGGGGATCCTAGATGCTTGGACCGGGCGAGACGAAATGCCAATCAGCAGCTCAAAAATGCCATGGAAGGTGGCTTGGGCTTCTTCTTGTTGCACCCTGATATATGAGTCGAGTTAATGGACCTGTATAGGGGGGATGGGGTGTACCTCTCTAACAAGGGCAATGATATATTTCTTGCTGATTTGAGGTGAGGGGTGCTGGTGGCACTGGACCACTTGGTGAAGGCCTAAGCAGAGGCTTGGGCTTTGGTATGGCGGGGTAGCGCGATCAGGAAGTTGAAAATGGTGAGCACCTGGGCATTTGTTACAAGGAATTAAAGGGTCCTCCAAGAACGGCTTTCGGGCCTTTGCGACTCAAGGTCGGGAAGGGGTGATCTTCCTTAGAGCAATCTGGCCCAGCCTATCTTAGCAGGCCTTTTGGCTTCTGGGGTGGTGGGCCAGGGGTTCTTCTAATATGCCAGGCCGCTGGTCAAGAGCTACATGGGGTGGCTTGAGATCGGGGAAGGTGCATCGCCCAGGAGGAAGTGAAAATGGTCAGGAGTTTGACACCTGTCATATTCCTTTGCGCAATTTAGTAGCCCCTCACCAGTTGTTTGATTATAAATAGTTAATAAAGTGGCCCTTGTTGAATCCATATTGGTGTCCATCTCTTCATTCCAACTGTGGTGGCAATGGGAAACTCCGTTACTACTGTGCTGTACTGACAACCAATGTTCCTTCTAAGCTGTGGAGTCTTATAAGCAAAAAATCTACTTTGTGAGCTACTGGCATTAGAGTTGTGAGTGAGCGATTTGGCTACTGCATACATTAGTTTGCTCTGGAGCCGTCCTTCCTGGGCTAAGACAAAAATGTGTGAGCCGGAGGCTAAAAAACTGTGAGCTAGCTCACACTAGCTCAGCTTAGAGGGAACACTGTTGGCAACTGCACTAGCAACAGAGCAATCACACTGTGTGGAAACTTCCTATTTCTAGGGATGTAGGAATAGCAGATCTGGTTCCTTAGCTTTTTAAAGAAACTGTGTGTTTCAATTAGTATTAGAGAGACATTTAATTAACCACTTTTTGACATTCACAATGGAAGCTGTGTCATTTTTTACTATCTTCTACCCATGTAGCCTAGATGGCCTAATACCTTCCCTGCAGACTACCACCTTCCCCCCTTAAAGCCTGATGAAGAACTCTGAAGAATTCAAAAGCTTTCTCACTGGTTTGTTGGACTTCATAAAGGGTATTACATGGATTTTTATATTTACCTTTCTCTTTGTGAACCACCTGTGGATGAAACAAACATTGCAAATATCCCCAAAGATTCTAGTGTTCTCTTATTCCAACTGGGAGCAAATTCTAGAGGCCTGTTAATCTTTTGCAGCAACAGCCAACAGTTTTGTGACACCTTAAAGACAAGTGCTGCAAGACTAGCAAAACTTACCCAGGAGTAAACATGCATAGGATTGCATTGTAACGAAACGCAAGAAGTGAATGCGCATGAATCTGCCTCATACTGAATCAGACCATTGGTCCACCAAGGTCAGTATTATCTACTCAGACTCACCATGGCTCTCCAGGGTCTCAAGCAGAGGTTTTTCACATCACCTATTGTCTGGTCCTTTTAACTGGAGATGCCATGGATTGAACCAAGCACCTTCTAAAATGTAAAGCAGAGGCTCTTCTCCTGGGCCACACCCCTCCCCTCACAGCTATGGAAAGTGTGGGCTAGGTAACAAGTCTGAAAAGAGGTATCAACTGCACTATTCTGAAGCATTTGGGACTAACACGGCATATAGACTACAGAAGTTTCAAGTCAATGAGATATGGGTATGGCTTCCTTTACTTATATTAGTTATATGGGGGGGGGGGAATAATTGTTACTATAACTTAATATATCATCATCATTGTTAATACGATAACAAATATTAGAAAAACTATATACGCTGGTCCGTAGTTGCACACAAAATGTGCTCCATTGGAGAGACTTTCAAAACCCGAAACTCTCTTGCAGAACTGAACAGCGCAGCCAACTTTGTAACTAGTTGCCCAAACAACCTGAGAAAGACAATAAATAAATAAATCACATTCCATTTTAGCAGGATTCCATCAGTTCAAGATGTACACTGCTACAGTGAAGCTACAGTACGTTTAGTCCAAGCTATCGTTTTTCATGTGCGTTATAGCAAATCCCCTATGACCATATTAATAGTTCTAATCCATATGTTTATAAGTTATGCTATTTTGTATGGGGCAAACCAGCTTCTGTTCTTTTGCCTTTTTGGGCTCAGTTCACATGCCAAGGGAAACCATGGATAAATTAAACTAACTACAGTTAGTGTGATCATCTGAATGTAGGCCACTGTTTTGAAATACAGTATGGAGATAAAATTGCTAACACCCAGTGCAACTGGAGAGACTGACCTGGCTGGGATGGGATGGGGGGGGGGCACTGCTTCACTTATTTTGGCTACCAAATTCCAGAAGGTGGTACTGGGAGACTGCAGCTTATCCCCGTGACTATGGAGCCCTGCAGGAGTATATCTTATTGTCCATGTTATTTAACATCTAGATGAAACTGTGTGAGATTTCCTGGGCGAAAAGTACTGAGACTGACGCATCACAGAGTGATTTTCAACACATATTTTACTTAGTGATTTCAGAAAATAGGAGATACAATTGCTAGCTCGCAGGCTGCTTATATGTCCATTCACAACCACACCCATGACACACCCACACCCGTGATAGGCTATATACAAGAGTTCCAACCTTATAGGTCCCCTGTAGAATCCCTACTCGTCGGTTGGCGGGTTTTAGGATCCTAGGGCTCTATTGTCTCTGGTAGCGAAGCTTCGCTAGTTGGTCGCACCACGTGGCGGCCCGACCACATGTGCTAGTACACAACACTGGGGTACTTGTACTGTAGTGCCACCAATATGTGAATGACACCCAGCTCTAGATAGCTGAGATATGTGAGTATGTGGAAGTCCTGAACAAATATCTGGAAAAGGACAGATGAGGGCCAGTAAACTGAACCTCACTTCAGAGGTACTGTTGGTCAGTGACAAAGGTGCTCAATGACTGAATAGTCAGCCTGAACTGGAGTGGGTTGCACTGCCCCTGAAGAGCAAGTTAGTGCTGCTGACTCATCCTGGCCTACGGTTGGAGGCTCAGGTCTTCTCTTTTGCACATAATGTTAGAAATATGTGTGTGTTGCAAGGTCTAATTCAGTCATTATAGGGTTAATCTGTTTACATTGTGTGCTATTGTTTAGACTGACCTGGAAGGGAAACCTGGCTCAGAGCCAATGAAAACAAAGCCTGCGAAATCTAAGTCTGTATACTCATAATCATTGGTTAATGCATTCAGGTTATTTCCTTCTAGGGGTCAAGAAGAAGAAGAATCTCCATTGCAGTTGTTGTAGACTGTGTGGTCAAAGTGTAAACATGTTGTTAAATACTGGGTTCTGGATGCATTACAGTGATCAGCCCTAGTTTATTTAGTGATTTCAGGAACACAACAAGAACACCCAGCAAGGCTTGAGCCCTGCTTATAAAGCATGCAAACACCACACCCCGCACACACACTCTCCCAAGGATAGGTTATTTACATTACACTGCTTATCTATAGGCCAATACCAGGATCCTGGTCAGCTATTGTTCTTGGGGAGCAAGCTCACCCAGTTCAAGGTCCACAGTCAGGGATGGCTTAGGCTTAATACATGTAGTCTTAGGTGACTCTGTTATTTTGTAGCTTTTCCATGTGTACCCTTCCCTTTAGAAATAAAGATTTTTACACAAAAAAATGCCTTTTCTCCAGTGAAGCAAAGATCCATTGCAAATTCTGAATATCTAAGTATTTTTGCCAGTTTTTCCAACACATAGTACTTTTTGTCAACTTTGGCTGATAACACCAGCTATGTCCCATCTTTGAAAAGCATGATCTAAATACAGTTATTCATGCTCTAATCAAATCCAGGTTACAGTAGTGTAATGCATTAAACATGGGGATGCCTTTGAAAACTGCTCAGAAACTTCAGTTGGTCCAGAATGTGGCAACTAGGTTATTGTTGGGGCTGGATATGGGGATCATATCACACCAGTGTTGAAAGATCTGCACTGGCTGCCAGTTGGTTTCTGGGCAGAATTCAAAGCACTGGTTCTCACCTTTAAGGCCCTAAATGGTTGAGGCCAGGATACTTGAAGGGCTGCCTCCTTCCATAGTGTCCAGCCTGCCAACTGAAATTGTCCTCTCAAGCCTTGCTTCTGTGCCGTTCGTGCAGAGGTAAGATGGATTGTGACTAAAGGCAGGCTTTTGCAGTGCTGGCACCTTGCCTTTGTAACATCCTATCTCTTGAGCCTTGCCTGGTGCCTAGTCTCCTTTCTTTTGAGTACCAGGCAAAAAAACAAAAATGCTTTTTACCCAGGCTCATCTTTTTAGTTGTTTTATAGTCTGCTAGCCTGAGGATTGTTTTATTAATATCATTTTAGACTGGTCTGTTGCTTCATGTGCTTTTATGCCTTGTCTTTTAGTGGTAGTTTTTATCAGTGTGTTTTTTGTTATATTGATTTGGATTGTTTTATTAATTTTTATTGTTATGATTGTGTGGGATTATGCATTGGATAGAGCAGGTAGAGAAAGAGGTACTTTTCTCCCTTTCTCACAATACAAGAACTCGTGGGCACTCAATGAAATTGCTGAGTGGTCGGGTTAGAACGGATAAAAGAAAGTACTTCTCCACCCAAAGAGTGATTAACACATGGAATTCACTGCCACAGGAAGTGGTGGCGGCTACAAGCATGGACGGCTCCAAAAGGGAATTAGATAAGCATATGGAGCAGAGGTCCATCAGTGGCTATTAGCCACAAGGTACAGATAGGGACTCTGGGGCAAGTGATGCTCTGTCTTCTTGGTGCTTGGGGGGGTCAACAGTGGGAGGGCTTCTAATGTCCTGGCCCCACTGGTGGACCTCCTGATGGCACCTGGTATTTTTGGCTACTGTGTGACAGAGTGTTGGACTGGATGGGCCTTTGGCCTGATCCAACATTGGCGTCTCTTATGTTCTTATGCTTCATTTTGTTTTATTGTGAGCAGTCTCAAGCCGAGAGGCAGCATACAAAATTATTTAATACACAGAGAGTTAAATCAAATGTACACTGTACACAGGTTGTATGTGTATTCAATGTAACTTGAACAGGTCTTATGCCAAGTCAGGATCTGAAACCATGATTAGAATTTCATTGATTAACAAGAGTTAATTTTAACTATGGTTTCATGTGACAGACATTATGGTTTGTTCCCATCTTTTCCCACTGGGCTGCCCTCACCATGAAGCAGGTTTGGATACCAGTGACTTTCTGTGAGAAAGGCAAGGGAAATTTTTTGGAAAGAGCAAAGTCAACAAAACCAGCATTTTTCAGCAGAAAAGAGTCCATTAGCACCTTGAAGACTAGCAAAATTTGTGTTAGGGTATGCACTTTCATGAGTCACTGCTCTCTTCTTCAGTGACTCACGAAAACTCATACCCTACCACAAACTTTGTTAGTATTTAAGGTGCTACTGGACTCTTTTCCACTGCTACAGACAGACTAACACAGCTACCCATCTTCATCTATCAGCATTTATCAAGGTATTCCAGGAGGTGAAACTATATACTACAAGGGGCGGGACCCGTGATACTCACGGGGGGGGGGGAGCTCCACACCTATGAGGAAGAGGAGGAAGCAGCAGGAGGAGGTAAGTCCCCCCATCCCGCCGGTTCCCCTGTCTCCTCCACTCCCCCCCGGCTCGACCTCCCCCCCACTCCGAAGCGAGGCGGCGAGGCCGGGTGCAGAGCGTTCCCTGCACATGCGCAGGGGATGCTCTGTCACTTTTGGGGGATTTAAGTATCCCCCTGATATTTTTTTACAGGTTTCAGATTTTTGTGCACACTGGGAACTGCCCCAAGTGTGCACAAACATCTCCCTCCCCCCCAGGTGCCCCCGATGTGCGGAAATAAGTATCCGCACGCAGGGGGCGTCTTCGGTATTAGATATATAGATTAGTGACGTGTGGCCCCCATCTGTGGATAGCTAAATCTACGGATCAGGGCCACATGGATGCCAAACAGATTTTTCAGAAAACTTCGGGGACTCAGATGTTTAAATTTTCCCCCAAATCACCCCAATTTTTTTAAAAAAATTAAAAAGCATTGTCTGTGCATGCATAGACAACACACTTATTTTGCTTCTGCAGCAGTGATAGACAGCTGTGGCAGAGTCCAACAGTGGATGCTGGGAGACACTCCAGACCCACCCGCAAGACTGAAACATATTGGGAGCTGCTTCAGGGTCAGCTGCGGTGGCAGATGCCCAGCCGCAGCTCACATTGGGAGCTGCTCAGAGCCCTGCTGTGGTGTTCGTGCACACTGGGAGCTGCTCGGGACTTGGTTGCAGTGGCACATGTCAGGAGCTGCTCCTGGCTTGGCTGCCGTGGTGGACAGCGGGAGCTGCTTGGGGCCTGGCTGTGGTGGCAATAGACACCAGGAGCCACTCTGGGCTTGGAGTGCCTCCAAGATACTACCACCACTGTGGCCAAGGTCCAAGATGAGCAACTCAATGGGGCTGAGATGGGATTCCCACCTGTAGGTTTTGCGGGGGGGGGGGGCTTGTTATTGTCTATGAGCCAAATGCTGCTTTCAGACTAGGGCTGCCATTCCCCTAATGGAGGCAGGAGTTTGCCCACTTTTGGGCCCCCAGATCTGCCGGCCCCAATCTAGCTGGCAGGGGAACTCCACCCCCAAAGCCCCCTGTCCCCGCCAATGTATCCAGCAGGGCCAGTTGTGTGGGGGACGCTCTATCACTCAATAAAAACGCTGTGTTTACCAGAAGCCCCGGAGAAGGACCAGGAACACTCCCCCCCCCCCGGGCAGCCAGGTAAGACCTGGCAACTCTATTTCACATGAGCTATAGCTAAAATAAACCATTGTTTTAACGTCTTGAGCTAAGACTAAAAGATCCCTCCTTCAGCTCCATTTACCTTCTGTATCAAAAACTGTTTTTTTTTAATGTACACACATGCATATAAAATGAAGAAGCTGTGTGGGAAAGAGAAAACATCCTCTGCTTGCCTCATTTGTACAGAGCATGCACACTTGATGAGCAATTTCATGGCCAATTTAAACATGGCTATTTTTAGCACTAGACAAAAAATTTCCTGGCATAGTGTGATTCTACAATTTAAAAAGCTTTTCTAAAGGGTATTAATTTATTATGAACACACCCTGATCTCACATGGATTTGACAGTGGGTTTCTACCTAGATTACCGATCAAGTTAATTCCGTTTTAGCCTCAGAAATGCTGCAGTGTTAAGTGCTCTTGATCCCCAACTTTGTGATGAAAGGACTAACATGCCTTTGTTCCACATTAGCTGAATTTAGTTCATAATTTCTGGTGAAAAAAGAAGAGTGAAGAGATCACCTGTGTATAATGACCGCAAGTTTTAGTACATGCTCTGCTCCCAAAGTTGTAATAATTGACTTCATCATACCAGTTTTGCACTGCTGCTTTTACAGAGAACAGAGACAGTGAGCCAGTCCAGATGTTTTCTCCAACGGGAGTAAACTTAGGGTGAACCTTCCCTGGAGTTTTGAGATAGATATTGTGATCAAAGTGGCACTTCTTTGCCCATGCTTTGGCTGTCTTTGCCAATGCAGGGTCCCAGGTCTGCAGAATTAAAAAGACAAATTGATATTGTTTATTATTTATGATCTTTTCAAATTACCTCAGTACCAGATTGCCACAGAAAACATGCAATACAGGTGTGAAGGGATAATATAAAATACAACCACTAACAGAAGATGTATACCAAGAACATGTTTCTTTCTGACGCCTTCTTTGTTGTGTCATCTCTTCCCTAATGTACAAAGTTTAATATCCTGAAAACATTTGCAACTGCTTTCATTGTAAGCCACAAAATCCACTTTAATTTATTTTACCTGTGTTATTTATAGTTCACCTTTCTTACTGAGACTCAAGGCAGATTAGGTAATGTAAATCAGAACTATCAACAGGATTTGGAGACATCTGATCGTTGGAATATGCGGGGTCTATCGTGCATAGATAAAGAAAATGACAAGAACATCCTGCAGGGGGCAGCAGAGGGGACAACTACTTAGCATAGTAAGATTAGGGACTTCTTACTATTTTCAAATAGTCTCCTTCCTGTCTCCTGATTGGCTCAATTAGGGTTTTTCCTGCTTCTGCTCTTTGTTACTGACTCTCTCCTAGCTAGTTAAACTCTCCTAGACAAACTTCTCTTTCTCCTCTTTCTTACAAAGTTTGTTCTCTTAATAAACCAACTTTATTTTTTAAACAGCTTGTGCTCCACTTTACTGCATATCTACACTCTGCCACACTGATTAACAATGTAATAGGACTAGGATTGCAGAAATCTAAAACAAGCCAGAAGTATTGAAGCATCTAACAGCAATTTTGCAGCATTATAAGGCCATTAAGGAAACGCATTGCTTTTGCAAATAGGAAAACGAGCTAAAGAAATAGATGCTTGCAGACAGGATTGCATGACCATATTAGGTGTTGCTAGGGCCCATTACTAAGGAACTGCTAACCTTGCTTACTTCTGCTATCAAGAAATTTAGCACCTGGTGATAACAGGAAGGTCTTGGCTTTCCCACAAGCTAGACGTGTGATCTGCCAAGAATGTTTGTGGTTTTGAAAAGAACAGGATGCTCAAGCACACGACCAATGTTTCCTGATAATCTTTTCTGCTAAGAAATGACCAGGAAAAATGATTTTTCCCCCTCTGTACTCTGTAAATCTATTTAAGCTTGAGTCCCACCTTCATTCGGTGTACAGCTCTGTTTGAAGGTGCCTCTTGGTGCTTTGGGCTGTGCCTGCGCATAATAAAACAGCTGTTGACTCTCCTTCCTGAATCTCTGTGGTCTGTCTCAGAATTCCCGCTACATTTCTAAACATAGCATGTTAAACAATGCAATAAATGCTTTTACATAAGTAGCATATAATGCAGTGAGAGCAAGAAAAAAAATGTACAGCAACAGATAATTCATATTAGTAGTATAGTCTAGAGCCCCATCCCGCTATTGAAACATTTTTCTGAATCATTCTGTTACAATGCAGCCCTATTTCCTTATAAAAATGTCCTTCTTAACAGTTCTGCTGTATATAGTTTGCAGAAAGCCAAAAGTGTGGTGATCTTCCTGAGTTCCTCAGGCAGGCCTTTCTGCAGGGTGGAGGCCTCTACAGAGAATGCACATGTCCAGGCCTTTGTTGATCCTGCTTGTTCTTAGGCTGGTACATGTAGAAGGGCCTGTTCTGAAGCTGTCATAGCGGGGTGTAGGAGGAGAGGTAGTCCTGCAGATGTGAGGGTCTGGTGGCCAATGTGGGGCTTTGTATGCAATGGCAAGTATCTTGAATTGAACTTGGTAACATAGGCAGCCAATGAAATGACTGCAGAATGGGTGTAATATGCATATACCACCTAGTTCTTGAAATTAACTGAGCTGTGGCATTCTGCACTATCTGGAGTTTGTGAGTCGATTTTGAGGAGACAGCTATATAGAGTGCATAACAATAGTCTAGGCTTAGTGTTACCATGGTGTGAATCCCAGTGGCCAGATCAGCCAAGTCAAGGTAGAGGGCCATATTCCAGGCTAAACTAAGTTGGAAGAATGGGTTTTGTGGCGGTCTTAATTTGCTTCTCCAGCAATAATGTTGGATCCACCAAACCCCATCAAAAGTCAGATGTACAATGCCCTTCAAGAACTATGTCTTCCCTTTGTTCTTACTTGGGCTCCAGTTCTGCAAATTCATGGGGTCACTTCTAACACATCCTTTGTTCTGACTTTCTGTTGGGACTCCTCTTGTTGAACAGAGCTTCAATTAATTGATCAATTAGCTAACCAATTCTTAAACACAATTTAGAGTACTTGTTCATTTATTATATGGTATCTTACTCCTACTAGAATGGCTTATCAGAATACTTTATGTTAACAGACAATACCTGCTGACTTTTATATCCTACAGTGGCTATGAATTATTTACCTTAAAGATTTCTGTTGCTTTGTTACAGCTTTGATGATTGTATTATGACTTCAATAAAACCTTTTTTTAAAAAAAGAACTCTAATAAAACCTTTTTTTAAAAAAAGAACTCTATCTTCTGAACCAGCATTTTCTCTGTCTTGTCAGAGTTCAGTTTCATTTTGTTCACTCTTAGCTATTTAACTGCCACCATCAGGCAGTAGCTCAAGACATCTACCCCATTCCCAGGAGATTTGGATAAAAAAGATATAGAGCTGGGTGTCATCATCAGCATACTGATGGCATCCCCCAATACCAAAACTATAAATGATTTTCCCTAAGGGTTTTACATAGAATTTGAATAACAAGAGACCCCAAACAGGACAAATCCCACTCTGATGATAGCTGGTCTCTGATGGCAACACTTTGAGTCTGCTCTGTAAGGAATGATTTAAACCAATCCAAAGCACATTCATGGATCACTGCTTGTCATGGTGAGGGGGCTTGCGTGGTTCGATGAGCCTGTGGGCTATGCCGTGGAGGGCCACCCAAGACGGACAGGCCACAGCAGAGAACTCAGACCAAGCGTGATCCCCTGGAGAAGGAAATGGCAACCCACTCCAGTATTTTTGCCAAGAAAACCCCATGGACAGTATCAAAAGGCTAAAAGATATGACGCCAGAAGATGAGCCCCTCAGGTCGGAAGGTGTCCAATATGCTACTGGGGAAGAGCAGAGGGCAAGTACAAGTAACCCCAGAAAGAGTGAAGCGGGTGGGCCAAAGCCGAAAGGAAGCTCAGTTGTGGATGTGTCTGATGGTGAAAGGAAAGTCCGATGCTGCAAAGAACAATACTGCATAGGAACCTGGAATGTAAGATCTATGAATCAAAATAAGCTTGACGTGGTCAAAAATGAGATGGCAAGACTGAACATCGATATCTTAGGAATCAGTGAACTAAAGTGGACAGGAATGGGCGAATTTAACTCAGAAGACCATTATATCTACTACTGCGGCCAGGAATCTCGTAGAAAAAATGGTGTGGCCTTTATAGTCAACAAGAGTGTGCAAAAGTTAGTACTGGGATACAATCTCAAAAATGACAGAATGATATTGGTCCAATTCCAAGACAAACCATTCAACATCACAGTAATCCAAGTCTATGCCCCAACCACTGATGCAGAAGAGGCTGAAGTGGACCGGTTCTATGAAGACCTACAACACCTCCTAGAACTAACACCAAAAAATGATGTCCTCATCATCATAGGGGACTGGAATGCTAAAGTAGGAAGTCAAAAGGTAACCGGAATAACAGACAAGTTTGGCCTTGGAAAGCAAAATGAAGCAGGGCAAAGGTTAACAGAGTTTTGTCAAGAGAACACACTGGTCATAGCGAACACCCTTTTCCAACAACCTAAGAGGCGACTCTACACATGGACATCACCAGATGGGCAACACCGAAATCAGATTGACTATATAATTTGCAGTCAAAGATGGAGAAGCTCTATCCAGTCAGTAAACACAAGACCTGGAGCTGACTGTGGTTCAGATCATGAGCTACTCATTGCAAAATTCAGACTTAAACTGAAGAAAGTTGGGAAAACCACTAGGTCATTCAGGTTTGACCTAGATCGCATCCCTGATGAATATACAGTAGAGGTGAAGAATAGATTCAAGGGTCTAGATTTGATAGATAGAGTGCCTGAAGAACTATGGACGGAGGTTCGTGACATTGTACAGGAGGCAGCAATCACCAGCATCCCAAAGAAAAAGAAATGCAAGAAAAAAAGTGGCTCCAAAGAAAAAGAAATGCAAGAAAGCAAAGTGGCTTTCTGATGAGGCTTTACAAATAGCAGAGGAAAGAAGGAAAGCGAAAGGCAAAGGCGAAAAGGAAAGATTTACCCAACTGAATGCAGATTTCCAGAGAACAGCAAGGAGAGATAAGGAGGCCTTCCTGAATGAACAATGCAAAGTAATAGAGGAAAACAATAGAATGGGAAGGACTAGAGATCTCTTCATGAAAATTGGAGAAATCAAGGGAGCGTTCCATGCAAAGCTGGCCATGATAAAGGATAAAAACAGTAGGGACCAGAAGCATTGTAAGGGGGGGCGGAGCTTTAAGCATAAATGGCCTATAATGAAGAAAACATCCTTAAAGATGGCGCTGAAGAAACCAGAATGAAATCTAAGCCTTCTTCAGGAAGTGGGAATTCAGCTGACCAGGCCATGTGACCTGACTCTATTATAGACTCTTCCAATGGAAAATGGGCGCCCCCTGCTGGCGAACAACGATATTCAATTAGGACTATGTTGTATAGCAGTTCTAACGAAAAACATCTGCAAAAGGATAGAGAGAACAACCGAAAATCAGCATCTAACTCCAAATGGATAAAGGGGAGAATCTAAAATGGACTGTATGTTGTTAAGGGACCGGTTTGCAGATTAAAAGCGAAAAATATCAAAATATATTTATAAAAATAAAAATATAAAAATGATAATCTGCCTAGTGAAAGAGTGGTTAGATTTTTCAGAAGACATATGGATTAAAGCGATAAAAGGGAAGAATTAACTCTATCCTAAAGACTGGCCAATGTCTGCTGCACACACTTGGATCAACAAGGGAAGAAGATAATGAGGAAGAAGACTGTAAAAGAGGAAGAGAAGATGAGACAACAAGTATACTTACTGATGAGGACTAGACTGTAAGATGGGGGTGGTTCCCCCCCCCCAAAAAAATAAATCTGATTGTCACTTGGGGAACAAAAAGTAAAAAAAAATGAGGTGTTAATGTTTTCTGAAGCCTGCCTTAGCGGGGTTTTTTATGATCTTGTATAGCTCTTCATATAGTCAGATTTGTTGGAATTGATAATATAAGCGATAAATTGTTGTTGATCACTTTCAACGCCAAAAAAGAAAAAGAAAAGAAAAACGTAATGGTTAAAAAAATGCTGTTGTATTTTAAGTAATGTATGATCTCCATCTCTTGGGTTTTTAGTGGTTTTCTTATTTTCTCCTGTAGTTTGTAGATTCCCCTCCCTTGTTGTTTCTTTGTAGTTTATAGAAAATGCAATTAAAAAATCCCCTACGGGAGGCCAAAAAAAAAAGGGAAGTTCATAGCCAGACTCGTAGGTTAGATTTTCATAGGGCTGACTTCAACAAACTCAGAGGCTTGATGGGAGTCATTTCGTGGGGGAGTGTGCTGGAAGGGAAAGGAGAGAGTGAAGGGTGGGCTCTTCTCAAACATGAGCTTTTGCAAGCTCAAGCCCTCACTATTCCAGCAAGACAGAAACATGGTAAGGGCTCCAAAAAACTGATGTGGATGAACTGAGACCTTCAGAATAAGCTAAGGGAGAAAAAGGAAATTGAGAGAAATGGAGGGAAGGTCAGGCCTCTAAAGAGGAGTATATGAGAGTTACTAGGTACTGCAGATCAGCCATCAGGGAAACCAAAGCTCAGTATGAGTTGGGTCTGGCCAGGGGGGCTCGCTACAATAAGAAAAACTTCTACAGGTATGTGAGAAGCAACCGCATGGTAAAAGAGGCAATTGGACCGCTTTTGGGAGTAGAAAGGGAAACTCTGGTGAGGACAAAGAAAAAGCAGACAGGCTTAATTACTTTTTTGCCTCTGTTTTCTCCCAGAAGAACTCGAGCCCATCTAGAGATGGTATAGGACATAACAGGACACCTGAGTGTCCAGTTGACATTGACAGGGAGGTTGTGGAGTGGCACCTGGCTGCAGTGGATGAACACAAATCCCCTGGGCCAGATGGTGTGCACCCAAGAGTGCTCAAAGAACTGTCTAATGAACTTGCAGAGCCTCTGTCCATCATCTTCAAGGCCTCCTGGAGAACTGGGGAGGTGCCACAAGACTGGAGAAGAGTGAATGTTATCCCAATCTTTAAGAAAGGGAAGAAGGATGGTAAAAGAGGCAATTGGACCGCTTTTGGGAGTAGAAAGGGAAACTCTGGTGAGGACAAAGAAAAAGCAGACAGGCTTAATTACTTTTTTGCCTCTGTTTTCTCCCAGAAGAACTCGAGCCCATCTAGAGATGGTATAGAACATAACAGGACACCTGAGTGTCCAGTTGACATTGACAGGGAGGTTGTGGAGTGACACCTGGCTGCAGTGGATGAATACAAATCCCCTGGGCCAGATGGTGTGCACCCAAGAGTGCTCAAAGAACTGTCTAATGAACTTGCAGAGCCTCTGTTCCTTCATCTTCAAGGCCTCCTGGAGAACTGGGGAGGTGCCACAAGACTGGAGAAGAGTGAATGTTATCCCAATCTTTAAGAAAGGGAAGAAGGATGACCCGGGAAACTACAGGCCAGTCAGTCTGACTTCTGTTGCTGGGAAGATATTAGAGCAGATTTTAAAGGGATTGATCTGTAACCATCTGAAGGACCACTTAGTGATCTGGGGAAGTCAGCATAGTTTTGTCCCCATCAAATCTTGTCAGACCAACCGGGTTTCCTTCTTTGATCCTATGACGAGCTTACTGTATCGTGGGCACTCTGTTGAGGTGCTTATGTGATTTACCTGGATTTCAGTAAAGCTTTTGATAAGGTTCCCCATGACATTCTGATGGGCGAACTGGAAGACTGTGGACTGGACTATAGGACAGTTCAGTGGATAGGGAACTGGTTAGAGAACCGCACCCAAAGAGTGGTGGTCAATGGTGTTTCATCAGATTGGGGGGAGGTGTCCAGTGGTGTGCCACAGGGCACGGTTTTGGGCCCAGTACTTTTCAATATTTTCATCAATGATCTGGATGAAGGAGTAGAAGGGCTACTCAATAAGTTTGCTGATGATGCCAAATTGGGAGGAGTAGCAAACACCCAAGAAGATAAAGTTAAAATTCAACAAGACCTGAATACTCTGGAGAAGTGGGCAGTTGCAAACAAGTGGGCAGTTGCAAAATTCAACAAAGATAAATGCACAGTATTACATCTGGGCCACAAAAATGTCAAGCACAAATACTGGATGGGGGATACGTTTTTGGAGAGTAGTGTATACGAAAGAGATCTTGGGGTAAAGGTGGACTGTAAACTAAACATGAGCAGTCAGTGTGATGTAGTGGCCAAAAAAGGTAAATTTGGTCTTGGGTTGTATTAAAAGGGCCATAGCATCGAAATCACAGGAGGTTATAGTCCCTCTGTATATTGCCTTGGTCAGGCCGCACCTGGAGTACTGTGTGCAATTCTGGAGGCCTCACTTCAAAAAGGATGTGGACAAAATCAAGAGGGTGCAGAAAAGAGCGATGAGGATGATCAGGGGTCTGGAGACTGAGCCCTACAAGGAAAGGCTAAGGGCCTTGGGAATGTTTAGTTTGAAGAAGAGGAGATTGAGGGGGGGGACATGATTGCTCTCTTTAAATATTTGAAAAGCTGTCATTTGGAGGAGGGCAAGGAACTGTTCCAGTTGGCAGCAAAGGATAGGACGAGGTGGAATCAGCTGCCTAGGGAGGTGGTTAGCTCCCCTTCTCTGACAGCTTTCAAGAAAAGGCTGGACAAATATTTGTCAGAGATGCTTTAGGCTGGTCCTGCATTGGGCAGGGGGTTGGACTAGATGGCCTGTATGTCCCCTTCCGATTCTATGATTCTATGCATATTTAATGGTCTTTCTTGGATGGAGGATACTCTAGATTACTGAGATGTGAAAACCATGCCCGCCTGTCAGGGAGACCAGTGGGCTGTGAATACGTGTATGACAAGAGAAGGAGAAGCAATATGAGTTTGCAGAGGTGGGGAGAGAGTTGAGAGAGGCTTTGCAGCTTACTGGCTTTAAGGACTAGTATTGTTCATTTTGGTTTTTGTCTGGGTTCCCCCCCCTCACCTTGTTTATTTCCAAATAAATACATACTACAACAATAGCTGCCTCCAGTACTTTCCTGTCACAAGGACAAGCTTGTCTCTGAGATTTTCTGTCTTTCAAGGAAGTAAGGAGGGCAAAAATCAATCTTTGTACAAAGATAGGAAAACTTTCTTACCATATGCTGCATGTTGCTGGCAGAGGGGTTCACCCTGGACCGAAAATAATTGTGAGTTTTCACACAGTCCTGTATAAACTGCTGATCTTCAATACCAGGCAATGAAGTCTGATCATGGGTGTAACAGCAAACAGAAAGCTCCAATACCAGCCAAAGCTGAGAAAACAATTTGCATTTCATCCCCCCCAAATATTCAGTTTCTCACTATTGTTTCAAAGAAGATGATGCTGTCTGCTTTGTGCATGGTTCTCAGATGGTATAACACTAAAGGTGGGGCTTATAATGAAACTCATGTTGCAGTAACGAGAACAAGTTGCTTCACAGCATTCAGAATTTAGCAGAACAAAGACAGGAAGTGGTTTCTTTAACTTTTCTGTTGCTAGAGGAATCCATATATAGTATTGTTGTGAGTTTGCTTTATGAGTACTGGTGAATGGACTACTAGACCTAAAATGACAAACCTGGTAGGAGCAGGGTCCACTGCAAAGGAATGTTAATATTCCTCAGTGGGTGCTAATTGTTAGAAGATGATCCACTGAGACAGTTCTGTCAAATACACATCAGAGCCTGGAGGAGGTTGTCACCTCCTAGCTGAAAGGAGGAGATGAATGTGTGTTTGGAACAGACAGGAAGAATAGCCAGCAGAGGCAGCTGTGAGTTGCCTGAGAGCCAAACTACATCTTATGATGTACACAAGTCTGTCATGGGGAGTGAAAGCCATGTTGGAGATACAAATTCTCAGTGGGAATTCTATTTAAACATGTTGTGGGGCCCAAATTGGATCATGACCACAGTGTGGGGGGAGGGGCTCCTGCCTCCCCTCATACACCATTTTTTCAGAGCCAAAATGGTGCCAGAGGAGTGTTATTTGTCACATGGGGAGTCCACTTGCACTGAATGCTTGCACATGCAGAAAGACTGCATAATAGTCAAACACAACTGCAGAGTTTCTGCGTATTTGAAGGCAAAAAAGTGTACATTTTGAAAAGGAGAAAAGAAACAAAAAAAAATCCCTATTCAAGACTGAATGGACAAGTTGCTTTTGGAATGCTGTAAGAAAAGAAAAAAGGTTGAGAAATTAGCCTGCTTAAACCTCTAAGAGCTTATAGTGTCATGTAGGGTGAAATCTGAGTTGGAGATGGAATTTCCCAAACCTCCCTCCACTGAGACTGCTGATTTGCAACAGATAACAAAGCTTAAGACGATGCATCCACCTGGGCTGAATTGAGAACTAGGTTTCCTGTCTCGTTACCAGTGCTTATTTCTCCATGCCTACTATCTCTCTGCACATTACACCCAATCATACCTTCTATTTTCATTTGCCTACTAATGTCATTTGGCATCTGAAATAACTCCACTTTCTAATATATATGACAGATAGACTCACATTATAGCTGTATCTGAAGAACTGAACAATGACTCATGAAAGCTCATACGGTACCAGAATTTTTGTTAGTCTTTAGGGTGCTACTGGACTCTTACTCTTTTCTGTCTATCCATATGTCCATGCATCCATGCATCCATCCATCTCTCACATATTATATATCACAGGTACACAATATTTCATGTTAATATTTATTTTCTGGTTTAAAAATGTATACAAGTCATTAATGTATAACAAGTAGTTTTTACAATTTTAGCATATTCCAGGTATTATATAAAACAAGGAACTGACAAACTCTACGTACAAGAAAATCCCAGCATTCATACAAATGTGATGTGTTTCTTTTCATCTATGCAATCAAATAAATTAGTTTTGCAAACATAAATCTGGATCATGTCTATGTAAATAAAAAGCAACTCCAAATGCTAGAATCATTAACAATGGCCTTAAAACTGCAACTGTGACACAGGATTTATCGCATACAATCCGACTTTCCCAGGGTGGAAACCATCGTGTATAGCCTATTAAAAATGCATGGGAATTATTCAATATGAAATTTATTTTTGAAGTAAAATTAAGCTATAGTGCAAAATAATACATACGTTTAATACTGTCACGATCGGGATTTCCTGGAGAAGGGGGGAGAAACATGATAAACTAGTAAAAAAAGTTTTAATATTAACATTTTACACATTTTTTCTCAAACATAACATGGAAACACACTTGAGAGCATTTAAACTGAATGCATCATCCAAACAGTGTAATTATTAATGTATCATATAATAATTTATTTGGAATTATTTGCCCAAAGGGGGGAAATATACAGCTACTAAGTATGGTACTGCTATGTTTCCCTTCCAAAAGCCCCAGTTCAAAGCAGCCCTGTATAAATGCAATTTAAAGTTTTTTAAAAGTTGGAAATCCTCATGGCTCTCTAGTACATAGCTTGGGCCAGTAATAAGCACTCTTGAAAATTTGGCATGTAACATCAGAAAGACCAAAATCAATTCATTGTCTGGATTTTTCTGTTGTACAATATACTTCTGCAGTATTTATTTCCATTCTGCCTTTCTACTAATCTACTATCTACTAATAAACTCACACCCAATACACAGTCATTTTCTTTCCTTGAGAAGGCTGGGTTTATATTTTTTTTTCCATAGAGAAAGTATGTCATTAGAAATTAGCACACATACCTCAACCCCCCATCAAAGTAAATGTTGCCAAAACCTGTATTATGGAGTTTGGTCACTATACTAGGAAAAATGATCATTCCTACAGGGGAAATGTAACTTAAAAAAAGAAGAAGACACAAAGGCTGCAAAAAGGCCGTGGCTGCTATGCTCATGAGTTGCTGTGCACGCACCCAGACAGTGTTCCAGAGAAGGCAGCAATGACATAGCCTGGTCACTTAATTAAGGTTTGAATTGGCCTACAATGTTGCATGGGTCAATTGCTGTCAGAGCAATCACTACCACTAGGTGAGCTGTAGTAGTATCAAACCAAAGCAGCCTCTGCTTTATCTACTAAGCTTAAAGCAGTTTATTTTTTTATTATATTTTTTTGACTTTTATAATTACATAAACATTCCAAATTTATATGTTTATATGTTTATTGTGGGCTCCAGTTCTTATGGGGGAGGTTCCGCCGGCTGTATACAGTCCACCACAGAAGAACCACGCGCACAACAGATTTGGAAAATATGTGGAGTAAATTGGCCACAACTTTATTGGCTACAGCTGTAAGAAGCACTGGCACAGCATGGGTCCACCAAATCCTGTGCATCCGCTGGCCCCATGCCAGCCAATGTACCTGTCACCCAGCCAGCCGGCATGGGTGCTGAACCATGGGATGGCAGGTTGCTGAAGCTCACACAGACGACTGCCCCTTAGTGGTCTCCCCTGCCATCTGGTCATGAGGGCAATCACTGGTAGTCCATGAGCAGGCTTGTTCCCATCAGCCCTCACACCAAGAACCCTTGAGATCCCATCAGCCCTCACACAGGCCGATTTCCATAAACGGATCCGGCCCCATGCTGTTACCGCCAAAAGTTGTGACAAGAAATATGGCATAGAATACATAGCACTACACAATTAACAACACCATATTATACAATATTGACGCCCCCCCTTTCCCCCACCCTGATACTCCACTATACATTATTGCATTCTGACAGCGTACACATGGGGTGGGATGGGTGGGCAAGCCATTCCATGGTCAGACAAAGGATGAGGGTGGGAGGCAAGTGGCTGGCCTATTCCCTCGTAACTGCCTTCCGGTGGCCACATCGTCACCTTGCCATTGGTCCCAGGGGGAGGGGAAGTCCTGACTTTTCCCGCTGCTCGGCCACCCGCCCCACCTAGCATCCGGCTAACTCTCCCTCCCCCGCCCAGTCCCACAAAATTCGGTCTGCGCTGAGTCGGGCCCTTTCTGCTTTCTCTCAAGGAAATAGTATATGGCAGAAGTTTATGCAGCAGTGCTGGAGCCCCAATCCAAATCAGGCCCCAGTAGCTGCTTTTTAAGGCAATTGAAGACATTGGGAGAGCCAACCACAGAGCAGAGGAAGGACAAGAGATAATTTATGGATGTGTTAACCCACAGATATGCAGTAATGATATGTAGCAAGTCAGGGAGCACTGCAAGACAGATGTGTCTGACTGGTTTTGCAAAGGATGCCACTGTTGCAACATGAGCCACTCTGTCCTTGGAACTAAAGTACTCTTTTTAAAACTTTCAATTACATTAAAGCTCAAGAGGAGAAAGATTAATCAGCAAAATGTTTGTATGTAGTTTGCCATAGAATGTAGTTTGCAATAGAATTCTTGTTTCCCCTGTAGCCTGTCTTTATTCTAGAGCCTTCTTGGAGGGGCAACAAGATTTCAGTTGCTCACTGAAACACACTGTACGCTCCCTCCAAGGAATTCTTCTCAGCAAAAGCTGGGTCACATATGGCCAGGAATCAGAGTTTTTGTCTTAATTGCAGCAGCGTATCAAAGTGTTTTATACTTACTACAGAGATTGCTTTCACAAGTGTCTCCTTCTGGGCATGCACTACATGGGTCTCCTGTTTTATAAGGATGTCTTGGGGCATTGCCTCTAAAGAATAACATTATCAGAATATCAGGACACAAAACAAAACTAAAGGCTGAAATGGAAGCTATAGCAAATAAAGGAAAATTTCAGGTGTGACCTATTGGCCTCAAGGTAGTTTTGGGAATGGAAGGTAGTGGAATCCGTCACTGGAACCAGTGATATTTAACTAATAAAAAATTATCTGGAGTCAGAGGTGAACAGTAAGAGCCAAATTTGGAAGTAACAGCAAATTCAGGATGACGAAATCCCTAAAAGACTAGAAGAACTCTAAAAAGCATTGCAGGTGAATAAACAACAAAATGTCAAACTGTACAAATTACTGGGTAACTTAGAAGTTGTATATTCTGCATGCTTTTAAAGTGATTAAGAATAAAAATGTTAGGTCAACATTTCAGATACTCTCATAATTTTTCATTCCATTTTAAAATATTGCCAAGTGAGGAAAGTTGTGCAGACTATGGAGTCCAAACCACCATGCAGGCCTGAAGTGCCTTGGGCCAGTAGCTCTCTCAAGCTAATATGAAAGCATGAAAACTAACCTATGAAGGATAAGAGACTCTTGTATGTCACCCTTAGCTCTTTGAAGGAATGGTAGGATAAAATGACAATATATATTCCAATAGCCTCTTTCATGATTGGTAACTATCTAAACAACCTAGGGGTGAATTAGGTCCCCCCCAATCACGCTTTGATGGCAGAATGCATAGAAAAGTGGCTTTAGACTTTTTCCCCCTCTCAGCAGGGC